TCTTGTTTTTGGCTTGCACTGCTTGTTAATGACGACCTTCTCTGAATATTCTACTGATTGAAATACAGCCTGCTCAGGGTGTCTTTCCCCTTGCATGTTAAGAAATTGCCCAGAAAAGATAAGGTACAACTTGCACTTGTTGAAATGTATTTCAACTAGTAGGAAAGGCATCGTTTTGTTAAGTTTTGAACTTAGAAGATTTTGTATCCTTGAGGAAATTCTGTTACTTAAATTTRAACCTGTGGTGATTTTTATTTTTCATTTATTCCATGGGCTACATGTATGGAGAAGATTGTCCGAGGCCGTGTGACTGAGCGTAGGCAGGAATTCTGCCTCTAATCTGCAGAATTTGCTGGGGAAAGCAAAACTTGCCTGTGAGTGAGTTGAAGCAAGACTCCATCGTCAACTTTAATAAGGATTAAGGACCATTAAAACTTTTCTTTTTTTTTCTTTTCCTTTCTTTTCTGGGTCATGGGCCATTTCTTTGACCTTGTTTCTTCAGTATAGTTCTTTTGGGGCATGCATGTATAAATATAGATTGTCTAGGAGAAAAAAAAAAAAAAGCAAAGCAAATGCACCCTTTATCTGCTTAGAAGACAGATATGTGACAAATTAATATATTGCTTATTTATTTTATTGTGAGTAGAGGAGCGTCTGTCTGAAGTTAAGCAAAGCAAGCAGCTATGAAAATGCATTGGAAAGCTGAGCACTGATCAGGGTGTGTCATCAGTGGAAGACGTGAAGAGATGAGGATGTTGCTGTAAACAGCAATTACATTTTTAGGAATAGGAAGTAATTACTAGCTTAAGTTGGGATTCAGGATCCCTGTGGTGTGCTAACCTGAATACATTTCCTTGTCTTAACCTAGTATGTTGGTTAACTGACATTTAAATACACCTCTACTGGCAAACAGGAAGACATTTTCTTGTTTGCTTGTAGTTATTTCTTTGGCTAAACTGCTAAAACGGCGGTTGTAGATGTCATAACTAATCATGCTAACGCTACTTCAGTCCTGTCACAAAAGGCCTTTATTACAAAGGAAATATTAGAAGTTGGAAGCACTTCTGCTTCAGTGGATTAACTGCAAAGATTACTTGACCCAAAGCAGCTGTTCGAGTCAACGTGCATATGGAATTTTAATTTGTTTAGCACCAGTGTATTGCAGTTGACTTTACTTTTCCTTGGCTTTAGCAGGTTTCCGTGCTGAAAAGATGCTGTGGATATAGCACAATTTAATCACTTCTTTTTTAAAGTGGCAGGGAAAGCAGCTGCAGATAAGGAGACGGAATGAAGAGAGAAGGAACGTAAAGTCAGCAATGCTCTTGAAACTTTTCTAAAAATTATTTTATAATTAATTTTTAAACCTTTTTTTTTCCTCAGGTGCTTCTGTAGATATTCTGTAGATGCAGATATGAAAACACAGCACTAGAGTCTTTCTGTGTGGAAGGAGATGGGAGAGGAAGTGCAGGTCTAGTACTATAATGTATATATATACACATTATATACATAATATTATAATGCTACGTATTAGCTTTCACTGTATAGTTAGTTATAAAATATACACATTTATCATTTGTATAAAATACGTTTGTCACTGCAATTCCAACTTCAGTTTGTTATCTTATTTGGTTTTAGTTTTCGTTTTGGCTGACTTATAAGAATGCTGAAGGTAATAGGAATAGAAATATAAGGCTCAGGAGTCAATTAGGTTTCATTAAAAACTATCTTGTTTTTTCTGTTTGGGTTCTGTGCTATGTCAGCCTTGAAACAGAGCGAGTTTCTTGTTGAAGGTAAGGAAATCAAACCTCTATTTAAAAAACACTTTTTTTTTCTTGTTTTATAAGTGGGTGGCGAGTGTGGTGAAGGTGGAGTTCATCACACTAAACTCTGACTTTTCGTGCGTTTAAGCTTCCTTCAGTCAACAACAGTAGTGGGCTGGACATATTTAACAGTGGTTGCTTTTCAATGGAAATAGCTTAACTGACCTGTGTGAGCTGTGGAGGTGATTCCAGCGTTAATAGCTTATTGTATTTGCTCACACAGCTCTTCACTCGGTTCTTTTCGTGSGATATTCTCTTCACCTTGGTGTGTTATTTCTGAGGTCTGTGATAATCTCTTTCTGATCTTCTCTCTGTTTTTGCTCAGGAAGGACCAGGGATGCTGTATTCAGTTGAGTAGTTGCTGAGGTGTTTAGGATGCTTGGAATTATTAACTTGTTTTTAGCTTTCCATTTTATAACTTAATTCTAATGCCTTTGACTGCCTTTATTTTATTTCTTCCCCTCACTATGAATATTTTCCTGTGTGGCAGATGTAGCAGAGGCTGCCTAGGCAGCTGCCTCTAGCCCTCCTCAGTGGACAGCGTGTGCTCCAGGTGTGTGCGGCCTTGCAGCAGTTTGAAGGGAGCTCGGTACACGTTTCACATTCCTATTTGTGTAACTCACCTTCCTGACAGATAAGAAACTTGATATGCTGTTAAACCTTAATGGACACTTTTTTTTCTCCCTTGTTTTAACAGTTACTGTCTCAGGGACATTTGTGTTATCCAGACTGCAGTGCTCTATGCTGAGGGCCAGGAATCAATAGGTGTATTCATTCTGCTCTAGCTCTCTGGTGTATGTTTCTACCAAGTACCAGCGGGGGTATCACTTGATCTCATTTGGAATATTGTGCGGCTTAGCTGAACAGTAGACATATCTTTTTATTCATGGCTAGTACATAATCTTAAAATTTGCACTGTTGGCATAATGTGAGGTTATATAAAACTTAGCTATAATGTGAAACCTGAGTGAATGTGCGACTGTCATGGGAATATATATCATAGCTGAACAGGGGGAGGAAAAAAGGAACAAATACCTGAAGTCTGATGCAAGCTGTGAGCTCTTTGCAAAAGAAAACAAGTATCATGCTGTCATTTGCTCCCAGATAATAAAGTATTGAATAGTGTCAAGAGAACTGCTAGGCGCAAAAATCTTTTTTGTATRAAGAAATCAAAGATTGTGCTTATGGAGTTCCTAAGCCAAAAGGAGGGTGGTGGTCTGATTTTCAATACTGCTTCGCACTTTGTGTGAGCAGTTACTGATCCCTGTCCATCCTGTCAGGAAGCATAGCTTTCCTCACTTGGTTGTGAATGATCTTACCCACCTTACACAGAGTAAAACTGAACTGGAAGAAAATGCTCATRTACCATATTGCCATGTGGGTCTCGTTCCAAAGCGACACATTTTTCCATGCTTTGGTTGTTTGAATCTTGCAGATGCCTCCGCATTGCCCAGCACACTGAGACACTGAACGAGGGTGCCTGTAAAATGGCAGGTATTGAACTTGGACATCACATCAAGAGCATGAGCTATGATGGAAGTGCCTGGGCAGGGTGGTGGGCATGTTCTGTCTGAGCTCAGAAAGAGCTTGGGGGAAAGAATGTAACAGCATTGTGTTCTGCCCGAATCTTTCACACCAGTTTTAGAGTTGAAAAGGTTGTGGAATGTAAATTTAGGATTGAAATGTCCAAATAAGTTTTAGCTAGCGTAARCTGCATGCAACTAAGATTTCTGCTGCAAAAATCAGCAAAATTGCCGGCTATTTCCTTCTAGGATCATTTAAACTGTCATTATTTAGTTTTATATAAAATTATATAAATCTCAACAAAAGTAAGTTCGCAGTTTTTAATTCTGGATCAGTTACTCTAGATCATCCTAATGGCCTTGCTAAGTCATGGTGCAGAAGGAGGTTGGTAGTGACTAGTCAAAGTGCATCTGTAATTGAAAAGCTTTGTTACAGCTCTGCTGTACACCATTTTTCATGTGCATCCAGGCTTTAGGAAAGCAACACACTGGTCTTTTACTATATATAGTTTTTACCCTTCTATCCTAGCATGTTTGTTTAAAAATTATGTTAATGAACAAATATTGTAGCAAGTCTGGTTACAATTAAATGTAATAGCAGTTACACTGCTTTAAATAGAAAATAATCCTTTTTAGATTGTCTAGGGAAGGTCCAAACAGACCAATGAGAGTAGGCTTATACATTTAATGAATAGGCTTATATATTTAAGTAGAACTTGTTGTATTAATTTCAGACAGGGCTGCCTGTGGGACTACTACGTCAAACTTTGGTTTTAATATGAAAATTTATTTATTTAATAAGTAAAGTGGTTAATTTCATCAAATTTCTATGGTCATGGAGATGCTTTAAATCTGCTCCATGAGGCCAGGTATCCTRTTTTAATAGGCTTATGGATAAAGTTCTGATTCACTTAATACAGCTCCAAGATATCTTTGAACTCTTAGAAGCTCAGTAAAGGATTACTTTTTTCTTCCCGTGTCAGCCTACCATGCAAATTTTTGAATTGTGTGAATCACAAATGTGTTTTGTAAGGTGAAACATTTGGAAACCTACTGCATTTAGCCCAGGGCATTATATGACTCTCAAACATTTAGGTGTTTCCCTTAAAATGAAGTTTGCAAGCAAAAGGTTTCACTATTTATAAGTAGAGCTGTGCAGCTTTGGCGGTAACTATTAAGCTGTACTGCTTTGCTGATTTTATAAGGAAATGTTATTTTGGTGGATTTTGCAGTTTTTTGCAAAGACCTCCACAGCAGAAGTAAAGTTTTTATCATTTGCTTGTTTTAATGCTGTGCTGTAAGTGACAGTCCAAATTGAAATATCAGAAGACTTCAAAATAATGCGGGGGGCCAAGGCAGCATTGCCCCTTCTGCAGCTGGTGCCTGGAAGCACAGAGTGACTGACTTGTTAGAGCCAACAAGGAAGGTCAGGGCATATCTGGAAACAGAAATTAATCCATTTGATTTCAAGTTGAATGAAGCTGAAAGTTGAAAGGGTTGAAAGTACTTATTTTGCTTTCCTTTAGTGTTCTTGATTTCTTGAGTGAGCTAGAGTGGTGAATCGGACATTCGTGCTGCTTGGATGAAGTTAACTTTTGAAGTTATGATCATGTGCTTAAATGCTAATGAAATCATATTCTTTCCTATCCTCCTTTAGCGCTGTGCGGTGCTGCGTTTTTTGAAGTTCCCCCCACACCAGAATAAGGTAAGAGACAGTAAGTACTGATGGTAAAACCCTACAGGTAAGCTCCTGAAAGCTGCTCTGAAGAGAAACCTGAAGAAGGACTAAGAACAAGAGGATGTTTTAAAATGTGCCTGTGTTTCACGAGTTTTCTCAACAGGAGGAAATTTCAGTTTGTCGTTTATAGATGAAATTAAGTAATTACTGACTTCAAGACTTGTKTGTGGGACAGAATGTATAACTAAAATGCATATGTAGAAAATATAACTTTCCACTTGCTGCAAGTGATTCTTATAGAAAGAGCTRATCCTGCATATTGATGTGGGTGACTGCAGAGAGGCTCAGGAAGAAATGAGAGTTTTATTGTCTGTTGCTAGGCAAGGCAAAGAGGAGGAGGTGCAGGAACACAGAGTTGACATYGCGATAGAAGTCTCCTGCTAACCACCTATTCAGCAGCTAGAAAGCTGTGCAATATTGCAGAAAGGTATGAGGTATTCAGARAATAGTTTGGTCATTCAGCAAATGACTTTAGTATCTCATCTGATATAAAAACAATATGGTAGGACATGATCACGGTTTCCTGGGCCGTGGCAGAAGATTTTCCTACTTGAGAAGGAAGTGAAACCTTAGTGTCTTAGTTACCCTAGTTAAGTTGTAGGTACCTTAGATTGTTTTAGCAGGGGGAAAATGATTGAGAATCAAACATGGCGAGTTCATATTCTAAGTTCCCTTAAGCTAGGGAGTCATCTTTAGGACATGCTGTCTAAGAGATACAGGAAATGGTCTCAGTTATGGCAGCTCCTAACACAAGGCTTTGTAAGGCTTCAGGACTGTACTGTTCTGCTGGGGAGCAAGTATGAAAAGCTCTGTGGCTGTACTGAGAGCTGGAGAGGAGGGAGGGTTGTAGAAAAGAAAAACCAGGATGCTTGTAAACATACGGAGTGAAACATATGGGATGGGATTTTGGCAATAAATCAGGAAGATTAATACAAAATGTGCTGTGTTCACCAAGAGAAAAGGAGAAGGTTATAAAATAGATCAGAGGAAAGCAAAGGAGGGTAAAAATATACAGTGTAGTTATCGGTTATTTTGTGGTTGCTTTAATTGAAAAAAATGAAGCAAAACCGGTGTGGCTCAAGCTGAAGTTTTAGATCTGCTATCATGGTRGGATTTGGAAAATGTACCTTGTGCTTCTGCAGTAGTCTAAGATAATAACATTTAGAGTGTTGTTGAGAACTGGGAAGGAGCAAGGGGATTGGAAGGCAGGAAAACAGCACCTATCTCAGTTTCTAATAGAGCGTAAGAGAATTAGGTGGTCTAACTACAGTTTAAAAAAAAATAACTCATAACTATACAGGAAACGCTACCAGTTAACTCAAGCTAGYCAGACTAAGGTCATCATACCTTTTGGAAAGGCACTTAGCTTAMTGTAGAAAAGAAAGGATAACAGGTATGATATATTCTAACTTTAATAGGGCTTTTGGCATTGTTTCAAATGGTGCTCATGTAAACAAGGTATGTAACACAGCATCAGTGTCATCTCTGCCAGGAAGACCTGCAGCGACTTCAAAAAGCCTTGAGAGGCTAACAGAGAGGGGCTGTGAAATTCAGAGGTGGCTTTGTGTTAAATCTCCCAAGTTGTCTGTCCTCTGCAACACATTCATTCTGCTGATGTTAATAAGTGGGCTGCCGAGCTGGGGCAGGGAGTGCTGTGCGCAGGTTGCCCAGGGAAYAATGGGAACCTTGATCTGAGCTCAGCTCAGCACAGTCCTGTGAAGCAAGTGGGAAGTGTTGATCGATCTGTGAGCTGCTGCTTGCGTGATGTGAAGTGAAATGGAAAGGGGAAACAAATATTCATAAGCGAAATAGGAAATGACTGGCTTGCCAGTAAACAGCTTAAAAGATTTGAGAGTTATGGCGAACCACAAAACACCTGACAAAGTGAAAGGCAAAAAAAGATGCAAATAACATTTTGGGGGTGAATTGGTGTAATTGTAAGGTATTAGTGAGAACGGGTGGTTTTACATGAAATAGTGTTAAGTTTGGGTTAATATGCTTGAACAAAGATGAGTAGGAAAGGGATAAATGGAAAGGAATCTGGAGGAAAACAGTAAAAATAAAGAGAATTGAGAAAGGAATGTTGAAAGAATAGAGTTGTTTTATCCTGGAAGATAAAAGCTAGAGGAGACACATGCCTTGCAGTGTAAAGAAACTTATTACCATGGGGGTTCCTCTGTGTTCCTCTCCAATTCACTGAAAGAAAACGTTTAATTTTTGTATTTGGATATTTTTGGTTGGCTATTTGGATAAAACTGTAATGGTTGCATGGTAAAACAGAGGAACAGATCATCTGCAAGAATTATAACAATTTGTTAAAAATTTTCTAAGCAGATAAAAGAAACATTTTATTGGGATATGCTTTTTTATTCTAAAAGTTTTCACATTAAAATATTCCTTTTGTAAGTGCTCTGAACATTCAGGCATACATTATGCCTCTACAGAAATAGTAGAACTAGTACATCTAAAAAAAACAGCTTCAGGAGGGAAATTCTAATGAATGGAATGTTAATCGTTTACAACCAACTATTTTGTCATTTGGAAATCATTTAGTTTAAAAATTGAAATGCAGAGAAGACTCAGTTGCTGTAATACTGCGTGAATTAACGTAAGCTTATCTCTGCTTTCCAGGAAAGATGTGTTTTTAATTACTGATCTACAGAGAATGCTTTCCAAGCTTGAGAGTTTCTTAAGCACAGTAGTGATGTACTGGTAGCTTAATAGCTATCAAATATTTTTTCTGGTAATTACTAAGCAATTACTAAGTTATCACTTCTTTTGGTAGGGCTTATTGTAACATCAGGCAATAACTGATGCTGAGACCTGTTTCTAGTGTAAGTGTCTAATAGTGCGTGATCAAGCTTCTCTTTGCTGGTAAATGCTTCTTGGGGACTATCCAGCTAACATTTAAATAAAGATGAAAGCAGTAATGGCTGCAGTGATTRTGACTTACGTTTCCTGCTTTTTGAATCCACAAATTTTGGCATTTTTGAAATGTAGAAGACAATCTGCTGCCAGGGTTTTGTGAAGGAAGGTAATCCATTTAGCTGTTTTGGTCCCTTCTGAATATATTTACTCTAATTAGTACAACACAGTATTTGTCTTCATTGGACTTTAAAAAGACTTTTCTAGATATAACATACTGATGGTTCTTAACCACACTGTTTTTCTGCTTTGAAAAGATACCTTTAAATTCAACCTGATTCTAGTTGCAGAATAATAAATGAGCCTAAATAAAAAGCTTAGTCTTGGTTTTGAACAGCTGTTATTTCTCTCTCCTTTTCTAAATAAAGGATAACTTGTATTCCCCTGCTCCCACCACAGACTCTTGTTATATTGTTACACGAGGCCTTCCTCTAATATTTTGGTCTGAAGGTCATTTTCTCCATCAAATAACAACTATTCTGCTGGGTATGGCAGTACCTAAACGTTGCTGCTGTTCTGGTCACTGAGGAGTGGGATGGCACCCTTGTCAGACACGTGCTGTGTTCGGAGTGCGTGGAGACACGTACGGGGCTTCTCCAAACTAATATTTGAAGCTGCTTATTAAGTGGTGGGGTAGTGTAGAACTTCTAAAAGGTGTATTTTTTTTTTATAAGTCATATAAGAAGTCTTTCATAAGAAGTCTTTTATGAGAAGTCATAGGCAAGATGCCCTAATTTAACTTTTCAGTTTAGTTGAAGTTTATAGTGTCTTTGACATAGTCTAGTTTCTAATTATATTAGAGGATGATTAAATTCCTTAACGCTTAAYGTTAAATGCTTAAATTCCTGCCCTTCCATGGTACCAGTAGCAAGCAGCCTAATAATGCTCTTTTGATTGAACGTCAATGAGGCAGTGACTTAATGTGCAGTGAAAACAATTACTAAAGAAAGTTGTGACAGGAAGACTGTGACTCTACAGCTTGATTGGAGACTTTAGAATATGGTRGCCTTGCACCCCGTTGTTCACAACAGAAACAGTGATTTTTCTGTTTGTGCTCCTTATCTGCATTAGAGACTGTGGCTTATGCGAAATTGTTTTATCAGTGGTGTAAGAGAAAGTGCATTTTCATCATCTTAGTGCTGTGATAAAATGAACTTGGCGAGTGTCACGGTGAGAATTTGTATTAGGGAATTTTACTTAAGCTCTTGAAATGACTGGAAAATTGAATGCCAGGAAGGCTTTTGTTGAGTAATAATTCTTATGCAAAAGAGGACAGGAAATAAGTTTTTGCTGCTATCTATAATACAGTGCTCAAGCTGATAATGCTGCATCAAGCTATTGGGGTAGTGAAACCCTAGAAATGTCCTGGGTGCACTGGTCTGATTCCATAGGAACTTTACTCATTCTTGAAGAAATTACTCATTACTCTTTTTTTCTCACCTTTGTGAGAAATGAGATGGGTGACATCCCTCGGAAACCTAGCAAGCACAGCAGTGTCTCCTGGTATGTAATCCCACAGGCTGTATCCGATTAAAGAGCAAAAGTTTGATTTTAAGAAGATGTTAGTAACATTCCCATTTAGACTTGTCCCATGCTGTTCTACTTACCACTGTAACCACAAAATGATAGTTTTGGATGAACACAGTTATGTAATGTAGCTCAGGAAGTGTTTAAACAGTAACTCTTAGGTGTTTTAATAAATAAACTGGTAGTAGTCACGGGGCCTTCAAAAAATTTTTATGTTCTTAATGTTAAAAGGCGATGCTCCCTTTGGTTAATGTTGTTGGTTGGTCAGAGTGATAAATGTCCTTGCTCTTAGAAGGAGGTCAGCCAGTGTCATAAGCTTGATCTGCAACTGGAAAGTTTTACTGGTCTTTTTAATTGGTGAGTGTCTCCTTGTGGAAGTTAGTGCCCTAGTTCTTGGAGGTATTGTTTAATTCTCAGTATGCAGGAGAAGCCTAGAAGGAGTGTCTGCCTCWGCAAAAGAGGCCAGAGCGGTCTCCAAGTAGTGGAGAATTCTGTTACTGTACAAGGTGAAGTAACGATATTGCTGCCCACCACCTGGGATTTGTGTGCGCTAGAGAAGGGGTTGTGTTGCCAGAAAAAGGGAGGAAATCTATATTTAAATTAAAGGTTTTTCTGTAATATTTACTCAGTGTTTACACTTACATTAACAAAAGTATCTGTAGTCCTACACAACTTGGGCAAGTTCAATAGGTGGTAAATATCTACCTATTATAAACAAACAAATAAACATGTTGCTGTTAAAATTGCCCAGCTAGTGACCGTCTTCTATTACCTCATAACACATTTGATATTTTGGCTGTGTTCTTTTCTTCTGTTTCCACTCTTGGTGATTGTCTGAGTGTTTTTCTCCTGGCATTTTAGTTTCTCACATTCTGYTCCATAGTGATACTTATTTTCTCTCCTGCTCATGCTTTTTCCTTTCTGATTTTCTAACTTGGGCATCAGTGTTATGCCTTCTCTTCCTCTGCCGTTACATAACCTGAGGAGCAAACCTCCCTTGCTTTGGTGCTTGCATTGTACAGTGGTAGGCAAAATAGTGTTTTTCTGCAAGAGCTCTGTGATACAAAAGGACCCARGACAGGAATGGACTATAGTAACAATAAAGCTGTGCAGAGAACCAGAGCGTGCTGCAGCATTGGCAATAGAATGATGATGCTGTAAAGCTTCTCCTACTGGGCACTGCAGTCTCTCCTAATAAGCATGAGCCTGCCAGGGTGACCCTGCAGTACTGTGGCTCTCCTGCCTCTAGTTCTCACTTAGCATTGTATCAGACTCACTAGGCATCATTTTCTTGTAGAGCCACCAGAGTTTCATTATATGCACATAATGCACAAACTAACAGAAGAGCACCTCAGAATAAAAGTTTTCAAAAACAGTTGATAAGAAGGCCTGCAGTGAATCTGTGTTCATCAGAATAGATCTCTTACCTGCTTTAAGAATAACGATCAGAGACAGAATAGATCTCGGCTCATCATTCCACTTGATCCCTTTCACTGTCTCTGCTCTGACCAGACTCTGTATTGTCATTATTGCCATTAGGGTACTTTGCCAAATGATTAAGATGTATGTGTATTCCCAAGTGTTGTGTATCATTATGTCATAACTAATTACTTTTTTTTTTTTCTTTCAGACATCAGAAGAAATACTACATCATCTGCAAAACATTGTGGATTTTGGAAAACATGTTATGAAGCAGTTCTTTGGGGAGAATTATGTTCATCATGGGGTAAATGTTCTACCTTTAAAATAAAACATGCTCTGAACATTGTAAACATTGTGTTTTAGGAGCACTGGATGCCAGGCAAAAGCAATTAGTGGGATTTGCAGATCTTCCTAAGCGAGCTGCACAAACAAGCAGCATTCAGTTCAGAACAAAGCTCCTACTCTCTGCTGACAAGGTGACTGGGCTGTGCTCTGTGTTGAGCTCTTTCAAGCCACTGATTTAAAAAAAAAAAAAAGTGACAATTTCTTTTTTTTTGTATGAGAAGAGAGGTGGAAGACAGAAATGTTTTGAGGCTGATTTTGCAAAACAAGGCAAGAAGTCTGGTCCTATTGACTTGCCCAGATTTCTGGGCAGTTGGAGGATAACCTTTTCCTTGCTACTCACAGTGTTCTTSAGGAGGGCTGCACCTGGTTAACTGAACATCAGGTGCTTGAGAGGAAAAGCAGCAACTTCTTTTGTAACTTGAGTCATAAAATTCTGCCTCAGGGGTGGGAGAAACTGTTCTCACTTTTCAAAAAGAGAAAATGATGCAAGTTCTTCAATGAATATTAAACTTTTTTTTTTTTTTTTTTTTAAGGAAATTGTTCAACTGCCTTTAGACTTTATAAGACAGCTGTGTGTGAAGATTCAGCCAGAGAGGCCAGGTAAGTTCTGTGATAGCATCAGAAAGTGTCTTTCTTCAAGTTGTAAAACATTCTGCTAAACTAGAAAGTAAAGAAAAAGAACCTTACCTTAAAATCTGAGGAAGCTTCTTTTAATATGAAGCCAGTAATAATGTGAAAATGTCTTTGTTGTAGAAAAATGGATGTGTTACAGAATTAAAAGTTGTATCAGTTTTACCAAGATGGGGATGGGGAACCTTTCTAAGTCTTCATTCATCTTAAAATACGCAGGATTTGTTCTTGGCAGTTTCAGAAACTCCAAACTGAATTAGTCCAGTGTTAATGTTGGGTCTAATCCTCGTGTGTGGAGCGGGGATGTTAGTGGCAGCACGTACCTGGTTGCCACGTCCTGCCTTGCGTGGGTCTCTTCCTGAAGCCCCCGCTGTCCCATTGCCAGGGCTTGCAGCGTTACAGGCTCTAGTGTGCAGCCTTTACAGCTTCCTGGCCCTTGCTGGCCCTCCTGAAGTCTTTGGGAATACGCTGCCTACTCTGCACTTTTGTTTGTTTTTCCTCTCTCCTGCTCCAGAGTCTCGCTGTGATAAAGACATGGACACTCTCAGTGGTTACGCCATGTGCCTTCCTAATCTTACCAGGCTGCAGACCTATCGTTTTGTGGAGCATCGGCCAATCCTCTGCATAGAGATTAAGGTACTAAATAGCAAAGAGTCTCTTTTACAGATTTTTCTGTTCTTAAACAGATTCTTCTGTTGAAAGTATGAACTGACTGAAGCAGTTTCAAATAAAAATTAGCAATGGGATAAAGCAGAGCTCATCACTTCCGCTGTTACCTCTAGGATGAAACCCACCCTTTCCCCCACCACATTTTTAACCTTTAAAAGCATAGGAAATTCCCAAGTATTGTTAGGTTTTCTTGCAGGCAACAGCATTGTGGTGCCTCTTTTTTAAGTGAGGGCTCTAGCATAACTGAAAATGAGCATTGGTTGCTCACTCATTATTTTATTTTTTATGTTTTATTTTTTTCATTTAACTAGAAAGGTTTGCATGCTGTGTACCCTTATATACAAATGCATACATTGATATTTACATTTTTTCTCTTTTTCTTTTTTGTAGCCAAAGTGTGGCTTCATTCCCTTTTCCAGCCATGTTTCACAGGAGATAAAGCACAAGGTGTGTCGTTATTGTATGCATCAGCATTTAAAGGTAATGTTTTTGCAGTCGGTCTGCTTTCCTTTGACTGTATTGTCTTTTATTTGTTATTAGAGTTTTGTTTTCTTGTTGAAACTTGCATATTGTTGCTTAAACCTCTGATATGACTAAAGCATGAGTGGTTACACACCTGAGTTGCTGGGTGTGTAGTGAGAAATGGAAGAAGTTCTGTGGGAAGTCGAAAGCAAACAAATGCAGTATTAGTCTTTGAGGAGTGTTAAAGCTGTTGGCTGGATAAACACCTATGCCATATTTCCTTTTAAGTACAACTCGTCGAATTGGAGAATTCCTGTTGCCAAATTGTGGCATTGCACAACTACCAGAACACGTAATGCCCGTGGAATTCATGTTTGTTTTAAAATTTGTTTTTTTCATATACACTAATCATTTTGTTTATGTTCCTGAAATGATAGTGGGTCTAGAAGTAGAAGCTAACTGTACCTTTGTAGAAGCTAACTGTACCTTTTTGTAACTTAACGTCACCTTTCATCATGCTTTCTGTTATTGAATTTCATGCAGTCTGAGTAATCTAAGTTGAAATATGAATAGGAAAAAACCCTTAGTAGTTATGAATAGTAAGTTCAGCGTTTGGAATATTATGGGACTCTTGAAGAAAAATATTAGTGTCAGCACCTGAGTATTAGAATAATTGAGAGCAGTTATTCCATAAAGTGATTAATAGTGCTGCTATTTTTCAACAGGTAGCAAATGGAAAATGGAAGCGACCAAGTAAATATTGTCCATTAGATCTCTTCTCAGGGTAAGAAAATGTGTTACTTGATCCTGTGTGTGGTCAAAAACAAACTGTATTTTCATTTTATTTTTCAAATCATTTAGACTTCAACTGTAGGATTAAGGAACAATGTCTGCTTGTTTGACATTTGAGGAAATATTTCTGGGGCTATGTATTTATATACATCTATTTGTGTATTTATTTGCATCTATTTCAGGAATCAGAGTTGCATGTTATGACTACTATGCCKTGTGATGCTTAACATGAAATGTAGGGTTTGTTCCTACTTAGGTTTGAATTTGCAGGAGTCTCTGCAGGAGTTCCTTATGTTGGCTTCAGCTTGAGTAACAGGTTTGAGGGATGTGTGCACATCAGGCGTCCTGTTCAGATTTCACAGAAACCCGCAAGCATGGATGTGAGCATTTAAAGGCACTGAATAACATATATATATATWTTTCTTTTTCCCTAGAAATAAACAGAGAATGCACTTTGCTTTGAAGAGCTTATTACAGGAGGCACAGAACAACTTGAAAATATTTAAGGTAAACAAAACTATCTGCTTTTATGTATTGTCTTATAAACAATTTGACTTTAATACCTGAAGAGGGAAGATCGTACGCAATGAGCACCTTCACTACGGGACTCTATCATAATAAAGTAGAAGAAAAAAGGCAAATAGCTAGATTCCAAGTTACGATAGATAAAGAAAACTCTGTGCTATCCCTAGGAATCTCTCCCAGAGCTAATCAGTCTGAATGAATAGCTGGGACAGCCAACAGAAGACTTTGACCAAAGTTTAAAAAATTTTCAAGTGCTCATTCAGGGAAACAAAAATATCTTTATGTGTTGCTGCAAATATTTTTGGAAATTGCTGTTAGAACATTTGTATAAGTCAGATGCACAGCATGCTTCACTGACAAAGTGGAAGGGTTAGCTTTTCTTGTGCAGAAGTAATGTAGTAAAAAATAAAGCAGTAATTGACGGATTATGCAGATTTGTCGGATTAGTTCTAGAAATACTCTTGAATTCATTTCCAGTATTAAAGCAACTACTGGAGTTAATGATACTTTTATGAACTGTTTTTCTCTATTAGAAAGCAGGTAATTTTCATGCCTCTTCTGTACCTTTTTTTTTTTTTTCACCTTCCATTTTACAATTTGACTTTTAAAGGGTAGTTTTACCTGACAGGCTTTTTCATGATTGACTGTACTTAGAAGTGATAGGAAACCATGCTGAGTATCAGTTCACTTTTTGGGTTCTGATCATTTATAGTTCATTAAGTGGGGAAAGTGTCTTGACTTAAATGGGCTTTTTGGTTCCAATTCAAAAGTTTTTACCTGTCTTATCCCATGAAGTTTAGGATGACAACTTTGTAAGAGATTGTGCATGCATTTGGGTGTAGACTTTTATACCAAGTCACTGTCTTTTTCATCATGTGTCTTAAAATATTAAATCTGGTACTTTGGCTAGCTAAATATAAATAACTGGATTTGATGGAGTATTCAAACCTTTCTTTTCCCTTCACAGAATGGTGAACTAATTTATGGCTGTAAAGATGATCAGGACTCTGTTTCTGACTGGAACGARCTTGCCCGTCACTTAAAACCTTTCTTTTTTCCTTCAAATGGCTTGGTCAGTGGGCCGCACTGYACAAGGACAATTGTTAAAGAACTGATCCATGTTATAACTATGGCGCTACTAAGTAGTACTGAAGCCTGCAGGGCAGGTGATATGAGGACAGTTCCCATTTCACATGGAAGAAGCTACTGTGAAGCAAGTGCTTTTAATAAGGAGCTAGTAAGAAATGGTAAGAACTAATTTATTGATCTCTAATAGTCATTAACTGTTACTACATAATGATTCATATGTTTGCGTCTTGTTAGCTCTTTAATGCTAGTGTGAGAACTGAATGCTGAGAAAATGAAATACAAGTTGCAAAGCTGCCAGATAACTGTTTTTAATGAGTTAACCTCATAACTTTTAATGAGTTAACCTCATAACTTTTAGGACCTCATCTCATGATGGGCATAAAAGTCAGTTCAGAGGTAGTAGGATAAGAATTAAAGACACCTGTTTGAGCTGATAATCACAATTTGTATTTTAAATGACTTGATAATTTTTATTTTGTACATGTTGAGGTCTAGCTGCTTTCATAGGTTACATGACGCCTGTTCTTTCCTTCTGCTCCTCAACTGTGGTATYGTTGTCTTTCTGCTTTTCTAAAGCAAAGGTACAACTATGGAATGGGAAATGGAAAATCACGATGGGAAAACTGAAGATCATGTTAAGCACTGAGGAATTAAGTGTTGCAAAGCTTTAATTTTTCAAGATGCTGCTTGTAACTCCAATTATAAAAATAGYATATTAAATTTGCTTTTGAGGAGAATCTTTTTATTGCAGATTGGTTTATGCTGTATTCTGGGAGAAAGAGCTACCTTTGAAAAAAATAGCAAATACAAAAATAGATTTGTTTGTACTATGTTAAAAAGATCCAATATCTGAAATACTAAATTAGTCTTGTCAACAGTTCATACTGTTGAAACTTAAATTGGTGGTGGTTTCAGATTCATCAGAGAAACTTGTCTTTTAGACTCATAGTAGAGTGCAATAGAGATTTTTTTTTGAGAGTAATTGTATAGTCTGTGTTCCACAGCCAAGTAAGTGGTCTTTAAATATGCAGGTAAGCACACAGCACAATATTGTTCAAAACCTGAAATCCTTTTCCTTTGACCAATCTGAAGAGTACTGCATTTGCTTTGTGAAAAAGCACGTGTAATGGCAAAGTGAAGCAAAGCAAACATGTATGTGCCTGCTGTATTTTWAATGTATTTTTTTTCTTATAGGGAAACATAAATTGGAAAGCTCTGGCTTACCGAGGGGCTGTCTCCTTTATAAAACTCTTCAGGCTCAGATGCTTGACATGCTGGATATTGAAGGACTCTATCCTTTGTACAACAGAGTTGAACAGTACTTAGAGGAATTTCCTGAAGAGAGGTAAGATTTGATGGCTGTTTTTAAGGTTCTGATTAAGTAGATGTTCAGACAAGATTGCCTTAGAGCTTCTTGTTACCTCTTCTGTTTCTTGAACAACGTTAAGGTGAAGAGGTAAGTCTCACTGTTAAGGTGGGAGGTCACAATTTGGCATGTAAATGGGAAAAAATAATTATTCAAATGTAGGTAAACGTGACCAGAATGTAGTTTTGTAGAGGAGATGATATTGTTAGGTTGCTTATCTCATGGTGTTTCTTAATGTAAGATTAAAATTCCAGCTTGCAATATGCCTCATAAATGAGCCAACCAAACTAGGGGAGCAAGATTGTTTTGGTTACTCTATCTCTTACCTGACGAAAAAATACTGAGTATTGCAAGGTGAATAGYTGTTCTCAGATTAAGTGTATAAGTTGAAATAATAATAAAATCACTGTAAAAAGCCTTATTTTTGATAGTCTCCAGATGGCATTTRCCTGTAGTTCAGCCACGGCGCACCAGAGGGCATGCTGGCCCCGCATGTAAGACAGGAGGGCTCTTGGGCACCTCAGTCCTCAGCTGAAGGGTTAGCTGCAGGAGGCAGTATGTGCAGTGTAACTTTGCTGTGCTTTTGTATTTTACAAGAAAAACAATTGGATTGCCAGTGTCTTCTTTCATCCATGTGGTGTTTGTGTGCTGTGCACTGGCATATAATGAGAAATTGCAGCTTTTGACTCTTTTGCACTTTTGCAAAAAATGCTTTTTTTTTCCAATTAAAAATTGCTGTCCTGTTCTTTGGTGATAAACAATTAGGGAAGAATTCTTTTTTTTAAGTGTTAATCTTCTTTTATAATTTATTTAGAAGTACGTTGCAGATAGATGGACCTTACAATGAAGTATTTTATGAGAAGCTGCTAGATCTTTCAACTGAAGATGATGGAACCGTAGCATTTGCGCTAACAAAGGTACCTTTCTTGGGCATAATGTTGAAGCTTGTGTAGTCTGTTAATTTTAATAATTGCCCATCTGACCCAAATTGATGGGTGGTGTGTGAATATTATCACCAGCTTGTCAAAGTGYTCTTTGCAGCTGAAGTTTTTTATCTTGTAAGGATGCCAGAGCACACCTTTATAGCAGAAGCACTTACAACCCAACRCATTCATCCTATGTTCTTAAAAGTTAAATAAAAAGCCTCTTTCCGTGCTAGACTATGAGGCATTCACCTGAATTGTGKTTTTTTGGCCATTATTAAAAGTATCTGTAAAATACAGACAATGTGTACATGATTCTTATTAATCAGGTATGGTAAAACCACTTGCTCCTGCTATCTATCTGCTATAGAGTTAATGTCTAGATCTTACAATGACTATACTAACACYTTTGAAAAAGAATAGTATATTTTCTATAAAGACAAATATAAATATAATGGAAAAATCTTGTCCCTCTTATTTCGTATAGGTGCAGCAGTACAGAATAGCAATGACTGCAAAAGACTGCTCCATCATGATTGCCCTTTCACCTTGTCTACAAGATGAATGGTAACAGCAATTTAATTTTGAATTACTCCTGTTTATTTAGAAATCATCTGTGCTTGTGCAACACCTAAAGTTGGCAAAAAGGGTCAAAGTCCAAGTTCTCTAGAATCCTTCAGAATGTTTGGACACTAGTGCTGATACTGAATTGTATTACCTTTACCTGTGTAAAAGTTGTAATTCTTACTGACTCTGCCAGATAACTTGGTGGTTGCATTGTATGTAATAACACCTAGAAATATATTGCATTAGCTAATTGCAAAGACGCATTACCAGCATAAAGTTTTGACTTAATCTCTATGAAACTGAAAGGAGAAGGACTGGCAGAAGTGCAACAATCTCATTGTCAGACGGGCTAAGCTGGAGCCCTAGTTTTTTATACACTGTAATAGCTGAAGTTTTTCTCAGGCACGTGGGAACAGTTATAAACATTAGTCATTTTTGCACAAGGACTCAGGACCCTCAAATGAAAAGTAAGTTTACTGTAATGAATCGTCTGTGCAATATGTTCTTGTTTTCCAGCTCTGAGCAAAGACCTGTGGTACTAACATCCAAATCAAGATTCACCTTTTCTGTTTCTGTTCTGGACCTTGATCTTAAACCGTATGAAAGCATTCCTCATCAGTACAAACTTGATGGCAAGATAGTAAACTACTATTTGAAGAATGTACAGGCCAAAGATGACCCTGTTATGTCCAGTCTCTTCAAGGAGAATGAAGACTGCACATTAGTTCTCCATAAAGTGTAACATTTTCTTTAAGGTTATTTTTATTTGAACACATTAGAAATTGAAAGGTTAATGAAATAATTATGGTGATTTTTTTCTATTGTGTTCAGTGCGTTTTTCAGCTGTGAATGTTTTTGCTTTAAGAAATGATTTCTAATTGGTATGCCTTTTCAAAGACATGGAATAGCACTAAACACGTTTGCTATATAACCTTAATGAATGTATTCAATATGGCAGAAGAGAGAATGTGCCATACCTTGGAACTAAAGGACAGAGCAACTTAATTCTACAAGTCCACTTCCTTAGAACTGAAATAACACAGAATTAGAGGTTTCCTGAAATATTGCACTAGTATACAAAAATTAATACTAAGAGGAGAACTGCCTCAGAGCTTGTGCTTTTTGAGTCTGACACATAGCTTACTAGGAAGAGGGAATGCGTTGACAAAAACCTAATATAAAACTTAAGCATTAAGTCCACTGAAGACAGAGCTGAAGCRGCTATTAAAGTGTTGCTGATACATGGAAGGACCATGTTATTGCAGAACACTTTAAATACTAATGCATGAGCTTAAGAACTCCAGAATGCCTCCAGAAGTTTTGTGGTCACTTTGTATCTCCTAAAGCTTCTGAAACTAAGTGAAAAGGGTTAAAGGTAAGCATCTTCRAACTTTATATGGCTGAGCTTAACTAGTCTGACACATTGGTCTTTTTTCTCTACAAGATATGCTGCTATTTGGAGATGAAACCACAGCTTGCTTTCCTGAGTTGAATTGAGCCCTAGGAATTATGTATTCAGAGTTGTCCAGATTATTTTGGGTCTTTCAGACAGTGTCGAATGTTGGTATTATTTCACTGWCATCCTATAGATTAGGATTATCTGCATCCTATATATATGCATCACAACCAACTGCTTTCAGGCTTGTTTTTTGAAGTGATATACAGAGGAAAGGTGACAGGAACTGGTTTTGGTTTTTTTGAAATTGTAGGGAGTCGCTTTCTGAGGGTGAGCACTGGAGCTGAGTTTGCATCAGTACTGCAGCAATATAAAGATGGCTTTACTTTGTACAGTAAATATTTGTACTTGCAAGTGAATTTGTGAGATAGTGCAGTTAGCCATCTTCAAGGCAGACCTCAAGTTACAAGATTAAGGGTGTATTCAAAATCCTGATTAGGCTGATAAATATCTCCAGGGCCTCTTCTTCCTGTGTGTTGAGGTTTACAGGCCCTGAACTGTGCAAAGAGATGCTATTCAAGCTACAGTCAAATGCTGTTATCTGTATACAGTGTGTGTGTCCTGGTAATGTTTTTCAAAATGATGTAGGTTATCATTTAAAAATATATATATCAAGATCTTAATCTTTGTTGCATTTTATCTGAAGTTAAAAAGTAAAAGCGGAAGAGTGCAGCCCTGCAGCCTGGCACAACTGAAGGTAGAAATATGGAGTAAYACCACTCAGAGCAATACTGTTTTACAGGAGGAATTGAACCACCTCAGCAAGCCTGCAGAGTCCAGCTGCAGGCGATAGTGTGCCTTTCTGGTGTGGGCTGCTCTTCGGTTAAATGTGATACTACAACAGTGTGATAAGCTGGTAATTTACAGTACTAACAACTCTATACATCTAAAGAAAAGATGTAAAAGAAATGTAAAAAAAAATTTCTAAAAACAGAAATCCTGCATGAGTTAGACAAAAGACAAAGGATTATCCAGAGCTGAAAAAATAAGTTTTCAGTTCTTTACACTGTAACTTTACACACATTTCATGTGCAAATACAAGTGCATGTGGTGAGTAAACAGGTTTCATTTGCATCCAAGAAGGATCTGTACATGAAGCTAACTAAAGGTTGCACAAAGCTAGCAAACACAAACCAGTAACATGTCAGTGGATAAAGTAGCGATGAATTTTGCTTATCTGCTGGCATCCAAACTTGAAAATAGTCTCCCTTACATCTAAAAAGACAAATTTGTAACATAAGAGTTACTGTTCATCCAAACTTGATTCTGGCATCGTTCAGCTGTAGAGTGACACAGTCCAGTCTGTTCCTTCCATTTTACTCGCCTTACCAGAACAGTAGGAGACTATTTATTTCAGTGATTGAATAGTGGAATATTAAAATTACAGTATTTAAAATATGACTGATATTTCAATTCTTATCTACCTATTTCACCATTGCTCTACAATCCTTTGTAATGCATTTAAAAAGATAACTAACCTACAGAGCAGACATTTGTACTGTTTGCATGCTTATAGCATCTATGAGCCTAAAAAGGCCTTCTCCTAGTATTCTAGAACTAGTGAAGAGTTCATATGGCCGGCGTATTTAGCCTCATGATTGCAGGAATAGCAGCTGTTACTCTACRTAGTTGCACAGCCTGTTTTGGCCCGGGCCCTTTGGCTGTGATAGACAGTGCAGAACAGTTTGTAAAGGAGCTAATGTACAGCTTGTGGAAGTGAAGGACGATTACAAGACACCTCTCTGCTTTGTTTCTTTAGGGACAAACAACATATGAAATGCAATKCCTTCCTACTGTGTTATGTGCTTGATTTTTTCCACAAAAAGTAGAAAGTCAAAATGAAGTACTTCTGTGAGCAGTAGTTAATTCTCCCATTTCTTTTTACAAAAGTACAATGGTCTTTCTTGTTTAAAGTTTCCATTCCAATTAACGCTGTCTCTCCTCCAACTCTTAAATTATTGAAAAATGTTATCTCACACAGTTGCTTTTTAACATAACTTAAAAGCTTCAAATTATTTGTCTACTTCCACTTAATTTAATAACATCATTACTTTTGGTTCTAGGGGTCTCTTACTGTTCTCCAGTCATTTTAAAATCACTATACTTTTACAGAGCTGTGAATGAAACTTCCACTTTTTATGGACTTGATTTTGACAGTGCATGATCTTTTAACACTTTCCAGGTAGCTAGAAAATGTTAAGAAGACAAACCACTCTGGTACATTATTGATTCAAGAAGATAAATTTATAATGAAATCACTCTGTACATGTAACTATTTTATTTGGCATTTTTGTATTTAAATGGCTGTATTTATTTTCATGTCATGACAATTTATATATAACGTGCCATAATTGTACAGATAGCATGTTTTATGAGTATGGTTTCTAAATGGAGAATAACTTAATGTTTATATTCAATAAAATTATAGACTGTGTAACACAATATCTTAATTAAAACTACTTTTGAAATTGCTACCTGTTGTTAAGTACTGCTGCTGTTCACTCTTTCAAGCCAACCACCTTGATAAGATTTTCAATAGCTGCCTCAATCCCAAACAAAAGGAGCATGCTTCGGAAGCAGGTAGGTGCATTTTCAATAGTTGCTCTTGTCTGCTCCAGGACTACAAGAAAAAATGTAAAAATGAACATTATTTTCAAAGAGTTACACCATTAGTGACAGCATCTGTCTGCCTCCCATTTTTAGATAAAACAGGTCACCTGGTGCCTAAAACAAAAATACATGTTTTTATTCTTGTAATCCCATATAAGTTAAATATACATTAAATACACTAAGTTTGGTTTTGTTTACCTGATGTTCTGTACACAAAATACTTTCATTTACTTTCATCAAAGAGATGCTGGGCAAAAAAGGAGAAGGGACAGTTGATTGCTTGCAAGCTGAGAATTGGGCTCTGAAGTGACATTACCTTGCTCTGGTACTTTGGGTAGAAGGTCCAGAACAGGCGTCGTTCTCCCATCTTCATCTATATCTATCTTCCAAACAATCATTAATTCCAACCTGCATTATATGCAGAGAAATGTTAGTTAACAGGTTACTTTAGCTGTTCCTTGGAAGGGAGATTTTCCTAAGCAAAAGCCCGTAGGCACAGTARTAAGTCGTAACAAGGACAAAGTTCCTTTTCCTCAAGGTACAATAATGAATTTAGATGGAAGTAAAAACTTCCCTTACATCCCCTCTGCTGGCCCTTCGCCCCTCCACTGGTACAAATGTTAGGGAGTTTGTGCGCAGCCTCGCGCGCTGGGAGTTGTGAATGGAGATCYGCATTCAGCTCTGCTTTCGCCCAAGCCCCTGAATAGATTTTAACTTGTTGTAGTCCCCAATCCTAGGGGAGATGGAAGGTGGCACAGAACTTGGCACTTGTTACTATAAAGAYGATGTGCAAAATAAAACTGCTTCTAGTAAAAGGATCAGCTCATTTTCTAATATTTCCTAGCAGCAATTACTTCAACCACTCAGTATTACAACATTTAGTTTTAAATGGAAAAATTTCCTAAACAGGAACAATATTATTCATTGATTTACCTATTCCATAAACTTTATCTTCATTAGCATTAAGAGCTGTGTCTCATATCCAGTTATTGCCATAGAAATTAATGCATATTTGAGAGACATAATAGGGAAAGGTCTYAGCACTTCATTGCAAGATTTTTTTCTGTGCTCATATACAATTCCTGACAATAACAATTACAGAGCTTTACTTCTTAAAGTTCTATTAACCAAAACTGCTGAATACAGGTAACAGGCACCAACAACATCTACCAACTGTGGCAGAAGAATAATGAATGCCAGGGAAATGATCACCTCCTCCATCGCTACTTATATTTTTATTTTTCTATTGTTTTATAAGGAAATCACCATGCTATTAGTAACATGGCCACTGTGATTTTCTTTCCCATAAAGTCAGAACCGTATGCTTTGCTTTAGCAATGCAGGATCATTGTACTTTGGACTGCAAGAGCGTGCAGCAGCTCTACAGAACAGGCTGCTTCAGCCCTCAAGAGGGGCAAAGAGCCTCAATTGGATCAAAGGGTGGAAGCTGCTGCTGGATCCCAGGTCCTCACCCAGGGTGYTTGGGGTGGCTCAGTGTCACAGTAAGTGTGTTGTTGGCTTCAACATCTGTTTTGCACAGAGCTCTGGCTGTGCAAGACAGCAGTGAAGTGGTAATTGCTCTTAAAATACAACTGAAACTAAAGCCCAATAGACCCTCTTTTTTTTTTTTTCTCCATCTAATTTTCTCTCTCTCTTTTTTTTTTTTTTTTAAAAAAGTAGGCTTACACAGTAACAGTTGGGTTGACTTTAACAAGGCCACAGGGAAAGAATCCTTCCAGGGTTCTTGTATGTGCTTATTAGGCATGACACTAACACACAGCATCTAATCTCTGTGCTTAGAGATGTTATAAAGCAATGACTTATTCTGTAGATGATTGGTTTAGTTGGAGACTATCATTATATGTTTCATTTTCCTTTAACTGTACAAACCATTTCATGATTCCTCAGTRCTGTAAGTAGGAATTTTGGCTTTGCCTCTTTTTTTTTTTCTTGAAAATAAAATTTAAGTGACCCTAGGTCACCTAAGCCTAGGTGACCCTGTGTGTGCRGGGGGGTTAGACTAGATGATCTCTAAAAGCCTCTTTCACCCTTAAGGATTCTATTATTCTATTAAAATACCAGGTACTTACAGACTTACCCAGAAGGTTTAGGGTTCCTTAGAACTATATAATCTCCTGACAGTCCTTCAGGGAGTTGTACAATGTCCGGATATTTGGCCTGTGAATAGAGTGAAAAAGATAAAATTAGGTCACAAAACTGGGCAGAGGCAAAGGTACTTCTGTGCATGGGGAGTGCGTTTTAATGCTGCCAACTAGCAAAACCCACTAAGTAACTCTAGGGAGGGCTGTATAAGACGAAATAGACSGAGCCTACTAAATTATGCCAAACAGTGTTGTGCCGCAGCCACTCGGTCTTTGGGAAGTAGGTACCACTTTCATAATAAAAATAACTGTGATTTATGCACCCATACTAGTGCTCATATTGACATGTCTATTGAGAAATATGATCACCAAGACCTGTACAATACTTGGAAAGCATAAAGGCAACAAGTTATCTGAATAGCCACTAGCTGAAAAGTATAGATGGGCCTTGGAAAACTATGAAACTTCTCAAACCATTGACTATAACTAAATTTTTGTCTATGGAAAATTACAGCATGTTGCAGTAATTGTGAACAGCCCCAATAGCTCTTTTCACAATGAACAGTCATTCCATTATGCTAGTTTTGTTACGGCATCACTGTAACCTTTATAAAAAGCATGAAAAGGAAAAGCAGAGGAGTACCCTGTGTGGACCAGCCTGTGGAAGTTCTGCAGCCTGTAAGATGAAAGGTTACTTGGAGACCAAATGGAGCTCCATGTGCATCAAAACGCGCAGAGCAAACACTTAATTACTACACCCCASAGGGAGACTTTCTTGCCAAAGAAAATACAATCCAGACACAGCMTATTAGCTTGAAAGAAAGGCTTTGCACTGTTACTAGGTTGTACSTAGTCTTATCTACTTGTTATTAAACCATGATCCAAAAACTGTAGTTTAYAAAGTGTGAAAAGACTGTCAGGCTAAATAATTATTCAGAGCAAGATCTACATCTTCAGAAAGAGGACTGGGAGAGCTCATCTTTGAAAAGCTCTGGAGAAAATGATGAGTTAGGCTGTACAGGCTTAGTCCTCCTCAGGCGCACTGAAATTGCTACCAGATGTGTCCTTGTTCTGCTTTAGGAATTTATGACAAACCGAAGTGGTTTCATGCAGAAAGCCAACTGACACAAAACATATGGAACTTGCTGGGAACCCCGTYGTGCAAGGTAGTCAAAGCAGGAATATGCAACTGAACTAAGGACAACGGCCCAGTGGTTTTTCAGCATATCTTCCTGTGGAATTAGCGACAACATCAAATACGTATTCTTACCTTTCATCCTCAATAACCCAAGTGTGCTYCCTCATTTGCCTGGTATCTTAGCACAGGTCTCAAAAATCTAGGAATCATTTCAGCTCTAGGTGGAAATCCTAGAAGTTTTAGGATGAGCWTTTATCTGCAGAACGTGCTTCTCAAGTTCCTTGTTTACAAGAAATTTCAAAAAAGGCATTACTAAACGCTGAGTCATATTGTATTTTGTTCCCCCATACTGAAAATATTACAAAATAGAGGCCTTTGTGAATCACAAGAGAAGAAAAATACTTAGGAAGACTCAGAGGAAMTAGGTAAGAGTTCCCATTTTCAGAATGTGTCTTAAAATGCACCCATAGCATAATTATAAGTGCATTCAGATTTGGCCATCTTAATGTCTTCACCACAACCTAGTGGATGGTACTTTATGTGGCATAAGACATCCAAGTATTTTTTTAAGGAAATCCCAAAAGGTTTAATCTTCTCTTGCCAAACAGCTTCCCTTCATGGGGATCAGAGAGCTTTGAGAAGCTTTGCATACAGGAAGCCGTTACTCTGTGCTGTGATAAACACTTTTCTGCTCCCCTCAATCTGGACTGTGGGAATTGGAGCCTGTGAGAAATTCAGAAGATTTGGGATAAAATCCAGCTTCTTACAGGAAAAATCCTATCTCAGCAAACACACAAAGCGGAAAAAACCCAAGACACACATTCCTGWGTCCGCTTCCCTCTGCGGCGCTTGCCTTGCTCTGCACGGCCGCCACGGGAGCTGCACGCACACAGCACTCCAGCAGAACAACAAAGACAGAACTGTTTACGACAACGTTGTAATGTTATAGCACTAAGTTGTAGCTTATTTTCCCACAGACAAGAGAATCAACAACAGAAAAAAAGAGTAATTTCTCCCAGCTGAGCAACAGGTCATGAGCTGTCTCACGAGCATCTCTTCCAGCACTTAGAACATGAAGAAACGTTCAGTACGGCTACTTGTGAGATGATGAGAGCACTATGGGACCAGAGGAGCCACATACAGGCTTAGGAGGTCTAAAAACAGTCTCGGGTCATTTCACAAGGCTGTTGAAGAACATCATGCAATTTTCTGCTCGCTAGAACTCTTCTCATGAAAACATTTACAATTATTCAGTGCAAGAGCTATGACTAAGAATGCAAGGCAAAAGCTATCAACTTTACTTGTATATCACTTGTATAGCCTAACATATAGCTCAATATTTTCACATAGGCCCTAAACATACAGGTTAGCAAGCCTAAAGGAAACTTTCCACGAGGAATGCACATTTAGCACCTCCAACAGGGATATGCTGGGGGCACTAAGGGGAATTATGCAATAATTTTATAATTATAAAATAATAAACCAGYATCTTATTCTTTCTGAAATATGAAAACAAATTTGCTAGTGAGTGTAGATCCTCAGAGAAATGAATAATCCCATCCTACCCACCCGTAGACGTAGACAGAAGTTCTGTACGCTGAGAACACGCAAGGACAAGACAAGGACCTGATTGCCCACAGATGTTACAAGTCCGCCACATGCTTAAGCTGATGCTGTTTTGCAGAAATTCTCGCTGTTTAAAGGCAATGTTGGCATATCTGAACACTAGCAGAGCCATCATATGTTATACTCAAAGCCCAAAAGGTTTCATTAGGAAAAGCTGTATGAGAGCATACAGTGAAAAGCTTCCAGGCTGACAGAATTATGACACGAGCAAAATACAAGATTCAGGAGGAGAAAATTTATACAGAAACTTTTTTTTTCTTAAACATACATATATTACATTAGATTTGGTCTCAATAACTCTTAAAAAGGATGTGCAGAAAGACTCATGATTATTTAAATATGACGAGCGCGGTCAGCAACTTTATCCTCTCTACTCTTTGGAATCTGCATAGCGGCCACCACACAAAAATTACACAACCAGGAGACACAGAAAGATGTGCWGTTTTTGACAGAGCCAAACAACCTGCCACGCTGTTAACCAGAATGAGTCATTATAAGTACTGCATTAACGATGGACAAAACACTCTCTGCTGCTTTAAATTGGGCCAAATAAGCCCAAATCATCCCATTAAAAAATACTCAGCRTCCATATACATTATGAAATAGTTAAACTGACTTCAACATCATCATAGACCTAGAAAGTTGGCAGCATGTTTTTATTTTGGATGAGCATAAACGCCGATTACAAGTAGGTGGCATATATAATAAATCATAGCTCTGAATTCTTGTATCTACTTACTAGTGCATGAAAAAATGTTGACAAAAGTGTTCTTTAATAAAATATGAATAATGGAATTAAAAGAGAGGAAAAAAAAGAAGAAAGCCAAAGACTGAAGTACAAAAAGCGCCTCATGAAACTTGAAGTTTCCACAAATGCAAGTGACCAAAATAACCAGGCTGAACAAGGTGAGAAGAATTAAAGTTGGGCAGTGCAGAGGTTGTTAGCACTAGCTAGTGATCTCTGCAGCAAGGGGCCCTTAGCATAAAAAGTGCATTCGAAATGTGCTGCAGCTGAAGTTAAATGTTACTCAAAAAAGCCTCGTGCCAAAGGCATTACAGATGTAGGCATTTGGATAGGACTTCATCAGAACTCTTGCTAGAAGAGAKGTGGCATCACTTCATAAAAAAAAACAGCCTGCATGGTGTGTGTGTGTGTGCACGTATATTTATATATACATATATTTTTTTTTAAAGATGGGCCTAAGATGAAGTGTCTAAGATAAAAAAAAAAATGGCTAACATGCTTTGCAAGGGCAAGAACTATAACATTCTCAAAGACTTGAAGAATGGCACATTTCTACAAGCTTCAAGCACAAGTGATCTCAATAGCCAGTACAAAGTTTCTCATTTGGTGCAATGAAAGGAACCTAAATCAAAGCGTTTTTTTTTTTTTTTTTCCCTTCAGCTCAATTACAGGATGCAAAAACACTGCATATACAAAATAAAATGTATTTATGAAACTTCACCACTCATAATTATGTCTCGGAATAAACACTGTTCCCATCTAAGTAAACATTTTGCTTAAGTAAAGCAGTCCTGCTGCTGCTCTGCCTTATGTAAAGTCCAAGCAAACGCAAGCTGTGCTCAGGGGCACCGAACRGCTCTACAAAGACACAGGCACCAGGAAAACAGCTCCTTGTAGGTGAAAGTCTCATTGTATCTTGCATGCCAATTAATGCCCTGCGTTTAAAGCAATCTGCAGGCCACTCGTGGAAGAAGAAATCTTTTCAAAGAAAAGTTGAACAAATTTTGCTACAAATTCAGGATACGCCTGGTCTCCTCCCACAACGTACAGCGGGTTGCTTTGAACAGGAGCCGCTCTGCATGCCCATAGCACCAGATCTGTATTTTCCAGCAGGCTGGAGAGTTACAGACCACTTTGCTAGCACTGAGGCTTACAACTCCCCCTGAAGGTTAAGCCAATACAGTTTGTGAGCACCTGGTGCTGACTGGGAGGCACTGTCAGTCCCTGCCAGCCCCAAACCCTTATTAGTACAGCAGCAATGAAGTCTTTTCTTTGTTCCCCCCTCCACACACACTTGATTACAGGTTCCTTTTGGGTGTACCTACTCTATTTAAATTGTTATTTACCGTCCCCTTTCACCTTTGCATAACATTCTTATTTCTTGCATCTGAATGTGTGTAAATAAAAAAGATAACAGCAAACTGCACTTTGAAGGAATCTTTCTTCACCCATTTGAAGCTTAGAAACAGAGAGCTACACTCCATTTCTTACATAGGATGATTCACTTTGTCAGTTTGTTCTAAAGTGAGAAGCATCTTCCCTTCCAAATATTTTACTGCTCAAAATT